TTTTTTTTTTTTTTTTTTTTTTTTTTTTTTCTGGTACCGGGGATTGAACTCGGGTCCTTGCGCTTGCAAGGCAGGCCACCGAACCGCTGAGCTAAATCCCCAGCGCAAGCTTTATCATTTTTATTTTGCATGCACATATACTACAGTGGGAATGATTGTGGCATTCCCTTAAACATAGTGTTTTTGAGGTGATATACAATTCCCTCCTCCTCTCTCCCTGAGCAGAGAGTTCTATTACAGCATCAGGCTCTTTATGAATGACAGAGCACCCCTTCACGGCCTGCTGTACAACATTTCATGGATACTTTGCATTCTGAAAATCAATTGGACTGTATGTCTCATCAAACTAGCCTTGTGCCTTTCTTAAGTCCTTGCTGTGGTCATACATATGCTGCCTACTGCAAGTGCAGCAAAAGTTTCAGAGATCGTTTATATTCTCATTAAGATTTAAACAGAAAAGCAAGAAGCAGCCTCTTCCTTTCGGCCTTGTATGTAATCTCTCATATTACATGATGGCCTCATTCACTGACCAGTGTGCGCTAGGTATGAGCATCTGTAGACTCCAGTTGTTTTCTCCTGACAGCTACACAAATAGGAGATCAATTTATTAAAGTATCCGAGAAAAAATTGACTTTTTAAAGAAATATAGTCCCCCTTTGAAAACATACCAGAGAAGTTACTTGGTTGGGGAGAGTGAGTTTGAATCCCAAACCATCAAAAATATTTCCTCCAGTGTCCCCCTCCAGAACTTTGATTTACTTATATGTGGCTTGGTTAGCATTCTGGAGTTTCTATTTGGTGCTTACCTCATCTGTATCAGTAGTTTTATGGAAATGAGCACACTGACTTTTTTTTCCATGCTGGGGATTTAGGCATTGAACCCAGAGCTTTTGCACTGAGATACATCTCCAGTCTTTTTTATTTTGTTATTATTATTTTTTAAATTCATGAGATAGAGTCTTGCTAATTTGCCCAGTCTGACCTCAAACTTGCTGCCATCCTGCCTCAACCTGCCAGAGTAATGGGGATACAGGCATGTGCAATCAAGCCCTGCTACCACAATGAATCAACAACCTCAACGAAACAGGACTAATGGTATTTTCATTTCTTGTTGCGACTTGGAAATATTTAATAGTGTAAAGACATTAAAAAATGTTTTAAACAGAATTTAACCTGTAAGGGCCAGGGATTTAGCTCAGCGGTTCCACTGCCTGCCTTGTGAGTGCAAGGACCCGAGTTCGATCCCCAGTACCAAAAAAAAAAAAAAAGAATTTAACCTGTAAATTTACTCTGGTATAATTCCTTAGTAGTTCATACACTGTTTATTGAAATCTTAATTGTTTATTCAAATTATAATTATTAAACTCATTTTGCTAGGGGCTCAAATACAGTAGGGTCTTGTTTGATGGAGTTTCAATGATAATGTGTGAGATTACTACAACTACAGAAATAATTGTGTTGCTTCCACGGTGACAGATTCTAACAGCAGAGGGATGTACAGAAGGCTTAAAAGAGAACCATGACCTGGGCTATCTGGGGCTTAGGGAAAGGTTTCCAGACAAAGACTTTGGTGTGCAACATTCTCTCTAATTTTGTTACCCAATGCCTTAGACTGCTTAGCCACATTACCTGCTTATTTATGCCAATTACTAATCAAACATCCAATTATTATTTATGAATTTCCCTCACCCTCCCTGTTCCATTGTTAGGGAAATTATTTTTATTGGAAGGCAGCTATGCTAACCACTATACCACCAATGCCTCCTATTTTTATTGGGGTTGATTAACACTAGGCACAACAAATTACACAAGATTTCCTGTTTCACTGTGAAAAAGACAACTTGTTTGTGTTTATTTTTATGCTGCTGTAAAACTGGCTACTTCTAACGGCTTAAATTCACAGCGATGAGGGGACTGAAATTGACTCAGAAACAATGGCCTGTGCTTGTATAGAGCCAAAATAGTCCTTCAAAAACCATCAAAGTGTTCAATTTCTTAGCCTATCATTTCAGAACAGAAATTTGGAGAAGAAAACCCATGATTCCTAATCACGATGCCCCTTGGGGATCCTGAGAAACTGCACATTCCTAATTCAAGAAGATTTACAGTAGCAAACCAAAAATAAGCTTGCTCACTCACTTTGAAAGGTGTGAGTATGTTTAAATCAAGGTATGTTAGAATTCTCCAGGAGTCTTCTCATTACTCTGAAATTAGTGAGGACATTAGTCTTTTTTCACTTAGCTAATTTTCAATTATTCACTTCTCAAAATGAATGTATTGTGTTCTAATTTGATATTTAAAATTGAAGTCACTTTTATAGTACATTTGATGCAGAAGACAGTCCATTTGAGATTCTCTGCTTTTTCATCTAGTCAAATCGAACATAATAAAAATTTAAATATGGCACAATTCAATTCAAGTGCTTTGGGGTTTTGACTTTTAATTTATTATTAAACAGGTGAATGTATTTTGAGCATACGTATCAGAGTAAATGGAGTGTCTTTGAGACTTGGAAAAAACTGCGTAAATGTTAATATGTTGGCCTGCAGCAAGGAAAACTTATCTTAGATTATTTTAAAATTACTTAGGCCCTCTTTGAAGTAAACTTTTGTACTTTGTTGGTCAACAGTTATAAAAAGGGAATGTTTTATTCATATAATTTAAAGATTATTTTTCTATCTTATATCTCTCATTTCAAAATAGAAGCTTAAACTCCACTATGCACGTCTGGAAAGTTATTGCTAAATTAAAGCACACATTTTTATTGGTAATTTCGAGACAAGTTCATAAACTCAACCCTAAGGTAAATTTTTGGTAATAGTAGGATCATCAGTACCATTTGTTAGCAACAGGATCTAGCAATGGGAAAGATTTGCTCACATGTGAAATTTCTTAATTCTAACCACAGAAGTTGTGTCATTTTGCCTAAAAAAGCAAAACAAAAATCATTATCCTTTCCTGCATGGAGGGGGGAGCCCAGAGACAATATAATTTTATAAATGTGGGTTTGTGGAGTTGGTAGTGGGTAAAGATAGCATGCCTGTCCACATTAGAAAAATGAAGAGCGGAGTTCTTCCATTTTTTTCTAATTATAACTAGTGTTGAGAAACAAATATATCTGAGTAAATATGAGAGATGTATACATGGAATTGGGCTTAGAGGTATAGCTCTGTGTAAGTGGCTATGTCAAAGTGCAAGTGCTGGAAAATAAACAGAAACCCAAAAGGTGGAGTGTATAATATGACAAGTCCATCACCAGCAAATTTCAATGGGATAAGGGTTAGCTATCATTTTAAAAACTTAAATTTCAAAAAGGCTGGCAAGCATTTAATATACACTGTTGAAAGCTTCTTTATGAAAGAACTGATCATATTTCCCTAGGCCAAGGCAGTCCTGTTTAATCACTCTTTTTTATGAGTTGCCAGTTCTCTCGATCAATTTTCAGATCAGTCAGTGTTGTAATGTGGTCCATCGTCCATCCATCAAGCAAGCACGTTAAAATAGTTCTGGGAAACCCAGCTGTTAAGCAAGTGAGGAAACTGAGAAGCAACATACTAAGATACTGAATAAGGGGAAAAAATAG